AGGATTTGGTTTGGTTTAGGGTTAGATGCATGTAATTATGTAGCATCGATTACTTACTATAGAAACTACATGTTATCTGTGTAACAAGGACACTGTGAAATAAAGTTACAAAATTGTATGCATGCGCATATTCAAACAACCTAGTACATTTGCCAAAATGTGCAGTATAAAACCAGATCACACTGCGTAGAATACTGTTTCACACAGTGCACTCAAATTGACTTTCTATTTCCAGAAGGTTTAATGAAAAACGTAATATCAGCCATCCTGATTGTGTAACCTGTGTAATAATCCTCTCACATTATAAAACGAATTAGTACTAATGTCCATTAATATATATTTTTTTTAAAGTGAATATGCCAATATTCAGTAATATAGTATTTCAGAAATGGTCATTGTTTGATTAGCTTTCCTCCACTCTTGCTATCCCAAACATTTCTCTGTGATGGCGAGTGAGTGGACTCCATGAAAATGGAGCACTCTTGAACAAATATATGCACCAGGAAATGAATGACATTTGGGTTCATATGAACAAGTGTACTCTCCAATCAGTGTCATCGCAGTAGAACAAATTCAAGCATTTTGATGATCATTTGAGAGTAAGTGTCAGAAAAAAAAAAAACACAAAAAACAGCGAGACAAAATTTAGCACTGACAAGCGGCAGAGCTGCTCTAGTTTCGGGGAACCGTGAGTGTCCGTAGGAGGATTGGCAGGGAGAAAAGAGGGATAAAAGCAGGCGGTCGCACATTCGCACATATATACACACACAGAGACATTTTTAAACCACCCACTACTCAGTTCAGTGCGCATTTACTCCCTTGTCAAACATAGAGTCTGACAAGGATAAATTATACAGGAGTAAATATCAGGGCAGCGCGACTGCTAATGCACGCTATGGTCAACAACGACAATAAACCATGACAACAGCAATTCTACCCACGCCGAAAATCGTTTCTTTCAATTTAACAACTGCTGCTTTATTATGTACTAGTAAGTGCTTTTAATTGCACCATTCTGATCTGGGAAACCATCCAAGCCACCAGTTGTCCTTGGACCTTTTGCTTTCAGACATCACCAAGAGAGTAGATGTTTTATGCTGTTTCTTTTTCCATGTCCGCATGTCAATGGTGGGCCATTGTCATAGAAACGGCTGATTTCATTGAAGGGGTACCTATAATTGACTCCCCATATTCAAAGCAAGGCCTAATTGTGTTCCTGCTTATAGCTGTTGCCTGGTGTGACTTTAGACCCATTCAAGCCCCTCATAGAGCCACTTACACAGGTCCTCTCACAAACAAGTGACTGGCATGTGTGTTTGACCAAATCTCCTGTTCTTTTGTGTTCACACTGACAGCGATTAAAATGCTGTAGGTCGCTAGTAGGCATTCATACTCGATCACGGGATCCAACTGTGTACAGCAACTCCTTCTAACTGAACATTTGCGCACTATATTTTGGAATAATTAAGATGTTTTAATGCTTTTAAAAGCACTCTCTTATTCTCACCCAGTCTGCATTTTTTTTTAACAGCAATATTCTAAAATATTATTATATATAATAACATTATATATATATATATATATATATATATATATTGTGTGTATATATATATATATATTGTGTGTGTGTATATATATATATATATTGTGTGTGTGTATATATATATATATATATATATATGAAGAGTTCAGATGCTAAAGCCTCTAAATCCCATTTGAAATCTTCTTCTTTAATGATGATTTTTATCAAACTTGTATATTTGTATATTTAAGTTACACTTAAATAACAATTAATAGGTAATTATCATTGCCATTTAAGTGAAATCACTGAACTTAAATATACAAGCTTGATAAAAATGATCATTTTAGAAGAAAATTTCAAATGGCACTTAGAGGCTTTTGCATCTGAACTCTTCATATATTATTAATATATATATATATATATATATATATATATATATATATAAAATATTATATAATATATTATATTAATATTATATATATATATATATATATATATATATATATATAATATTATATAATATATTATATTAATATTATATATATATATATATATATATATCAAAAGAACAGCATTTATTTGAAATATACATTGTTTTTATATTAGAAATATACAGATATATGTTATATTCTTATTGTCGTGTGCTTAAATGATCTGAGAGAAAAAATTATATTTGAGAGAAAAAGTTTTCATACCAATAGCAAAAAAAAAAAAAATATTTGAGACAAAAAAAATTTGAGAGAAAGTGTTTTCTCATAGAACATAAAAAATATATAATTTTAAAATTGTTTTTGAGAAAAAAAACTCTCTCAAAATACTTTGAAAAAAATCTCAAATATATATATATTTTTTGCATTCAGAGTGAAAACTTTCTCTAATAAAAAGTGTTTCTCTCAAAACGGTTTTCTTTGCTCTCGATACAATTGCTTGCTCTCGAGTCAGGATTTTGCTTTCACTGTGAAAATTGTGTCATGGGCGGGGCCACGTTCCTATTGGCCAGTCGGTGAGCATCGTCTTGTCTTGGGTGTCGAATCATTATTACACCATTGTTCGGTTCACCTAGATAGGTGTCACAATCCTAGCTCCATACATTGCAGCCACTCATCCCTGACAGGTGTCCTTGTTAAAATATTAATTTGTAAAAATGGAGTAACCCCAAACTTTCTTGAGCAGCAAATCAGCATATTAGAATGGTTTCTGAAAGATCATGTGACACTGAAGACTGAAGTTAAAATATATTTTAAAAATACATTAAAATACAAAAACAGTTATTTTAAATTTTGAAAGATATTTCACAATATTACTGTTTTTATTAGTTTTTCTGTATTTTTGATTAAATAAATGCAGCTTTGGTGAGCATTAGAGACGTCTTTCAAAAACATTTCCAAACTTTTGACCGGTAACTTTTTTTGAAACTCCGGTCAACAGTCACTCGTGTTTCTGGCAACTGCCAACTCTCATTGAAAATGAGTGACTTCATGTGGCTTTGTCACTTCGGTTCGCTGTCAGTGTGAACGCCCCTTTAAGAGCGAGCAATAGTGATAGTGAGTCCTGTTCGAGGCATAATGACAGCTTCATCTTCCTCCCCACGGTGAGAGCAGAGTGGACCTGCTGGAGTGAAGCGTACATCGAGTATCCCTGATAGCTTCTGCTCAGCCTTAACATAAACTCCACACAATCTTTAAATCTTTGCTTTGGCTTCAAAGTGAAGTGCTGACCTCTCAGATTGTCATACTTTTCCACAGACCGACCGTGGTTGTTGAAAATAGGCTAACCATACCACTGGCTTCAAAATGCAGTTCTAATCTTGAAAAAGTGACACAAATGCTGTCTACATAGTTAGGGTGCTTATTTTAGTTGCTGAAAGAGCTTTTTTTCCCTATGCAGCTTTATCATAAAACAAAATAAAGATATAAAACAGCAGATGTACAGTTATGGACATTGGGCTCTGTTTGGGATACTGCTATATAAATATATACATTATATACATGCAACTATTTCTTAAATATATACATGCATATGTGTGTATTTATTAGGGGTGTAATTCTACGCTATCTCATGACCAATTCGTACGAGTGATTCAAAAGTGGCTAATTCGTACTAATTCATACGACCTCACTCGTACGAATTTGTACGATTTGTCTAAACCCACGTGACGGTTATGTTTAGGGGCGGGGTCAGGGGTAGGTCATTCGTACGAATTCATACGAATTGGCTAATTTGTAAAATATGTACGATTTAGCAAATTCGTACGAGTGAAGTCGTACGAATTGTTACGAATTAGCCACCTCGTAAAATTCGTACGAATTCCCGTGAGATCGGGTTGGTGTAATTATACCCTAGTGTCACGATTCGATACATATCACGATACTGAACTAACGATACTATATTATTGCGATACTCCAAGACATATGGAAAAAGGTTAACAAAAAATGTACTGTTGATTACAATGCTAAATTTGATATTACATTGTGGGTTTACATGAATAGGCGTGGACTTGGAATCAGTGACACCAGAATAAAAATATTCATGATTCTGAAAATACAGAATAATTTTAGATGAATATGCTTGCACTCTGTCACTGACTAGATATATTTAAAATAAATGTCAGGTAACATAAGACTTTTGGCTTTATTAGGACCCACAGATATTCCCCCATTGCATTATATACATTATAATCAACATTATATATAGTAGTTTAATGTAGTACTGACACTAAAACTCTGAAAACTTGAATTTTTTTCCACGATACGTATTGTTGCATTTTTGGATTGCGATATATTGTGCCACGATATATTGTTACATCCCTAGTATTTATATTTAAAAAATAATTATACACAGTACACGCACGTATTATGTAAACACAAACTTTTATTTTGGATGCGATTAATTGCTTAGCACTATTCAGTATTAAGAAATATTGAAAAAAATTGTTCAATCTTAATTCAAATTGACCATGTAAGCAGTGTTAGGGTGCTCTGATTGTTACCTGACAGGTTGATGGTTAGCTTAGCAACATGCTAACTCTATACTGTTGTAGATGTGCTTCACATGTGGAAATCTATTTGAAATCTGTTGCTATGTAGAGTTTTTCCAAATCAGTCACTTATCAGGTTCCTTCTGTGTTCGGAAACAGCCATAGAAAACAGTTTTGGAACCGAGTGTGTGTGCCCATGCAATGACACATGCATTATCTTTCCCCTTTGAGACGAATCAGCATTTTAAATGTATCCTATTTACTGCACATGCTATAAATGAAATCCCCTTTCAGGGTCTCATGGGGTTCTGGGTGTTTTTAGAAGCCCAAATGAGCTTTATTCTTAAAGACACAACAGTTATGCAAGATACAAACCATCTGCACTTTTTAGCTCCTCAGTCTGAGCCAGAGAGTAGATGTTTCTTGCCAAGAATTGCATGTTCTGTTTCTCAGTGTGAATATGTACTTTTATTTAGACTCTTTGTGTCTGTGTGTATGTAGGTGTGGCAGTGCGGAGGAAGTGTTGAGGTGTTGCCCTGTGCCCGTATCGCTCATATCGAGCGTGCCCACAAACCCTACACGGAGGATCTTACTGCCCACGTGCGCAGAAATGCTCTGAGGGTGGCTGAAGTGTGGATGGATGAGTTTAAAAGCCACGTCTACATGGCCTGGAACATTCCACAAGAGGTGAGTCCATGTCAGCTACTGTGTATACCGCCAGAAATTCGTCTTATAAGTAAGGAATGCTAAAACACAACTCATCCAAACGAGACCGTAACTAGAAAAGTTGCAATGCAAGTTCCAAAACTTACAAAAGATTTAGGGTTTCTATATGTAAGTCTCATAGGAGTATTGTTTATAGTATAATTAATTTGTGTCAGTTGAATAAAATGTTCATGGAGGAGTCGTGTTTTCAGATGTTTCGACGATCAGAATACACCTTTCGTTGACTTTCATTCATATGTATGCGAATGCGCGAGACAGGACATGCTAAATTATGCAAATTTCACTGTGTTTCAAAGTTCAAAGTTTGGTGAACTCTGCCCTGCGAATTTGTATCATGTGAAGACGTTTAACCAATAGAACCTCTTAGCTAAATTAAAAGAATGTAATCTTTAAAGAGGGCCTATTATGTTTTTTTGTGCATTTTCACCTTTTTTAGAGTGAAATGTTGCTGTTTGAGCATGAAAAAAGATCTGTATAGTTACAAAGCACAAAGTCCACTCCAAAGAAAATTATTTTCGGATATTTGTAGTCTTAAGGACTCGGTTGTAGTCTTAAGTTGCATGTCACAATATTCCTCATTTAAATAATTCCCACCCAAATAATACCAAAAAAAAGAAGAGGTGAGTTGAGTTGTGTTAGTAGTGTGTTAACCTGTGGTTATGGTAGGGGTGTGGCCGAGACCAAAGAGGGTCAAGTCCGAGTCGAGACCGAGACCAAAGAGGGTCGAGGCCGAGACCAAAGAGGGTCGAGGCCAATATCAAAGAGGGTTGAGTCCAAGTCGAGGCCGAGACCAAAGAGGGTCGAGACCGAGACCAAAGAGGGTCGAGGCCGAGACCAAAGAGGGTCAAGTCCGATTCGAGACCGAGATCAAGAGGGTCGAGGCCGAGACCAAAGAGGGTCGAGGCCAATATCAAAGAGGGTTGAGTCCAAGTCGAGGCCGAGACCAAAGAGGGTCGAGACCGAGACCAAAGAGGGTCGAGGCCGAGACCAAAGAGGGTTGAGTCCAAGTCGAGGCCGAGACCAAAGAGGGTCGAGACCGAGACCAAAGAGGGTCGAGTCTGAGTCGAGGCCGAGACCAAAGAGGGTCGAGACCGAGATCAAAGAGGGTCGAGGCCGAGACCAAAGAGGGTTGAGTCCAAGTCGAGGCCGAGACCAAAGAGGGTCGAGACCGAGACCAAAGAGGGTCGAGTCCGAGTTGAGGCCGAGACCATAGAGGGTCGTGTCCGAGTCGAGAAAGAGACTAAAGAGGGTCGAGTCCGAGACCAAAGAGGGTCGAGTTCGAGTCAAGAAAGAGACCAGAGTCGAGACCGAGACGAAAGAGGGTCAAGTCCGAGTCGAGGCCGAGACCAAAGAGGGTCGAGTCCGAGACCAAAGAGGGTCGAGGCCGAGACCAAAGTGGGTCGAGTCCGAGTCGAGGCCAAGCCCAAAGAGGGTCGAGACCGTGACCGAAGAGGGTCGAGACCGAGACCAAAGAGGGTCGAGACCGTGACCGAAGAGGGTCGAGACCGAGACCAAAGAGGGTTGAGTCCAAGTCGAGGCCGAGACCAAAGAGGGTCGAGTCCGAGTCGAGGCCAAGACTTTAGAGGGTCGAGACCGAGACGAAAGAGGGTCAAGTCCGAGTCGAGGCCGAGACCAAAGAGGGTCGAGGCCGGGACAAAAGAGCGTCGAGTCCGAGTCGAGGCCGAGACCAAAGAGTGTCGAGTCCGAGTCGAGGCCAAGACTATAGAGGGTCGAGACCGAGACGAAAGAGTGTCGAGTCCGAGTCGAGGCCAAGACTATAGAGGGTCGAGACCGAGACGAAAGAGGGTCGAGTCCGAGTCGAGGCCGAGACCAAAGAGGGTCGAGTCCGAGTCGAGGCCGAGACCAAAGAGGGTTGAGGCCGAGACCAAAGAGGGTCGAGGCCGAGTCGAGACCGAGACCAAAGAGAGTCGAGTCCGAGTCGAGACCAGAGAGGTTGGATAACCTAAGACCTGAACCAGACCTAAAGATATCTTCAAGAATATGTAAAATATTTGGGGTTAACAATAAAATTGGCACCATACTCAAA